CGAGTTCAGTTTGCATAGCCCAAACTCAAAGTACCCCATGTGGTTGGCCGTGAGTTGGACTTGAAGGTCCATTGTGGACCCGGGGGCGTAGCAGGCCCCGATGACCTTTTCGCGAAGTTGGGGGAACTTGGCGAATTCACCACCAGTCTCGTGCAAGCGCTTTCCAGAGTACCTGTCGCCGCAGATCCCGTGTTTGCCGCCTCTGGTTTGGCCAATGCCACCAGCGCTGAGGCCGTGGTCGCCGAAGTTGATGGGAACAAGGCCATTGAATTGCGGAAGTTTGCCTATGTAGCCGCGGTGCGGAGGCACGAGCAGACGGCCGTGGGCAGAAGCATCTTGGACCATCATGGCCATGATCAAGGCCACCGGAGTTAAGAACGCGCTTGACTTCATGTCGAGTGAGTAAGATTGACAATGTTGATGGTGGTTTGGTGGACCCCGTTTGATCAACTTGATGGATTTGGAATCGAGTCGGATGGTATGTACATTTTTTACTGACCGTAATGGGTAGATCTGGTTTAGTTCGAATTACTCGTACGTACTGTTAATAGTATTGCGAGATTTCGAGTGGGTGGGGTCCGGAAATTCGTACCGAATCAACATATTGATACGAACGACTGGTCTAATTGCTGCAACCAAGTTTCACACGAAAATAGCTCAGTTATAGGTAGAGGATCGGTTTCTTAACTCAAAGGTCGTGGGTTCGATCCCTGGCTTCCTCGGATTATTTCCGCAAGGATTTATCCGTCCCTCCTGGGGAATCCGGATAACAAGGGCGCGTACGAAGACGAGGACCGAACTTCGAAGAAGATCGGTCGAAGCACGAGGTATGAAGCATTGAGCGAAGTAAAAACCGAAGATTACACACCGCCCCTGGTCGAGCAGGCGCGTTATAATTGGCGAAGCGGTCCACAACATGTGGTTCTAGTGCCGGCCCTCGCGGAGGAATGTCTTAAAAATGATAATCCAAACTCAATTAACCATCCTAGCGGCTGGTTCCGCCGATAACGTTAGGAGATTTCTTGGAGAGTGCTGGAGCAGAAAAATGGAGAAGTGTAGAAAAAACCAATAAATAAAATACCTGAAGGCCCCTCGGCTGAAAACACCAAAGGGACGTCTGGTATCGTTATTTAAAGTAGTACCATTGTTAGTAATTAATGGTTGTGGATTCTAGACGGAAACGGTAGAGGATAATATAAAACAG